CAATATATTTTACAACTGATGAAATTGTTTTCATAGTAGGTACATGATTTGAAGATCTTATAATGTTTAATACATCAAAAGCTTTTTTCAAATCACCTTTAATGACAAATGCTTCAAGATATGGTTCTAAATGATACAATTCCAAATTAACTAACTTGCGAACAGTCTTTAAATATTTAAGTACTTCAGTTGCTAGTTTTGTTTCACCTGACACTGAGGCCAAATTTAATAAATTTATACATAAACCCTCATCCAACCCAAGTCCATCTTTAGTAACAATATCCCAACACTTAATTACGCCTTCCACCTGACACAAAGTCAATAATCAATCAAATTTGAAAAAGATATTATCATTTTTTTTCGTATAATTTAAATTAATTTTTAATAAAACAAAACTTACATTATATTGATAAGCACAAACTCTTAAAATGTCTAAATACATATTAGGAAATAATTTATAATCATCATTTTCTGACATTTTCATTAATTCAAGCACCATGACATCATCATTACAACCTATAAAACCTTTAATGATCTTTTGATATAATCGAAATGATGGTTTAAGACCTTGTTTTCTCATTGTTTTAAAAAAATCTATTGCGCTTTCAAATTCATCATTCGCTATCATTGCATCAACATAATATTCATACGTAGTTTCATTTGGTTCAAGTTGAAATTGATTTATTAAGTCAAAAGTAAATTCTCGAAGGCTTGGATCTTGTCGAAATATGGTGGTTTTTTCTGCACATGTCTTTTTTTTAAAAAAATAATTATTAACGTTAGAGAAGAATTCAATGAAATTTTAATAAACTTGATTTTTATCAATTTCAAAAACATTATTACCCACTGAAAGCTTATTTTTTCCCCTTGGAATTATATAATAATGACGATGATAATTATTATTTATTTACCTTCAATATAATATTAATTGTTTCGAGATTAGGTTTAATACCGCCTTCTAGCATATCATGTAAAATTTTTGTGGTTTCAATTGAATCAGCATATCTTGAATAAGCTTCTAGAAGAATATTATAAGCTGTAGCACCAGGTTTAATATTTTTAGATTTCATTTCTTGAAAAATATTATTCAATTTTGATATATTATTTCGACTTTTTGTT